TTGCACGCAAAAGTTTGAGTATCAATCAACGACAGTCAATCAATCAATCAATCAAATGTTGTTGGAACAATGAAGCCGACGACGAAGTCGATCGCGACAGGAAGCGGAAGATGAAGTTTCCAATGAAATTTTCCACTTTTGGCTGGACGCGCGCGAACCCTTGTGGAAACTGCTTGTCAAAATGTCGTTGTTGTCGTTGTTGTTGTTGTTGTTGTTGTTGTTGTGTTTGTGACACCTTTAATTTGGGCGTGGCTTTGAAGCGGACAGCCTTCTAATTTAGCCGCAAAATGTGTGAAAGCAAAGCGAAATTCTGATATTTATAACTTTTGTAATTGCCACTTGTGGCAGGCAGGCGGTCGCTGTGCCTGTGTGTGCGTGTGTGTGTGTGTGTGTGTGTTTGTGTGTATGGTTGGCATGCCCCATATATGAAATGCATCTAGCCGCACATAGGCCATTGGCCCGGCAAAGCTTGTGGCCGCACTGCCTCCACTTCAGCTGCTGCTGCTGCTGCTGATGCTTCGGAAAATGGGAAAACATTTTCCAAAGCGAAAGTTGACGTCGCCTGAAAATGCTGTTGGAGCATTCGAAATTATTTACAACTGGCAAAAGTAGCTGCCAGAGAAAAACCAGTCAAGAAGAAGATAGCAACAACAATAACAGGGACAAGAACGTGGAGCAGGGGGCGGAGCAGGCGAATTTATGCCATTAGCCCACGTTGCACAGTTGGGACACAGTTGCAACATTTGCTGCCGCTGCCCCCTACCTCCCACCCGCAACCCTCTCTCGATTCCAGTGAAATGCACTTCAATGCTTAAATGACAGTCAACTTTTTTCCATTTTTTTTATTTTTTTATTTTATTTTTTTTTTTTGGGGTTCCACGAAAAATCATTTGGGATGCGACAACAACAGCAATAACAACACAAATAGAAATCCAATTGTAGAGCAGCCACAACGACTAACCAAATACCCTGTAATCAGGACAACAAGTTGGCTAGTAGCACAAATTATATGTCATGCGCTCATTAGCACATATGCAAAGCGGCCATGATCGACTAAGCGATGCCCTGGAATACATTCGTCTTCAGTTATTCATGTGTTACATATCTCTTGGCGAAAGCAGAAAAAGCCAAAAAAGGCGCTAATAAAGCAAAGTTAGTCATGAAAATTGTCCTGATAAATTATTTAAATTTATAGCAGAATCCACATGCCAAATTTGCCGGCTCCAGCATTTAGAGTACTCGAGTGCAACAAGGTTTAGTCTCCGGTTAGAGAATGGATCAAGGCCTCAAGGCCGAGCAGCAATATGTTAAATTATATCCACAATTTTGTCTTGCATACGCGGCGTGGCGATGCCCACGAGGCTAAGAGACTTTTACAGGGTATCGTCAAAAACTTGGGGTACAACGTAATAAAAACGGGCAACTTTTTAGTGCAACGGAAAAATGCAAAATGCATAACAACAATAACAACAATAACAGCAACAACAACAAGGACAAGCAAATAAGTAGCAAGAAGCAGAAGCAGAAGCAGAAGAAGCAGCAAAACTAGCATAACAACCAAAGCAAATTGGCGCAGACTTGAAGAAGTGCTTAACTAGATGTACAACATGCACATTACATAATACAAATACACCCGGCCATCGCTATGGAGCGCAAATTAATTCGACTGGCATCAAAAAAAAAAAGTTGTGCCTTAATTGTGCAGAGGTCAAAGTTTGGCGACAAATTCGAAATCTCAACTGTTTGCCAAATGGTCTGCTTGATCTACAGGGTATAAAACAGCGGCTAAGGGGCATGGTACAAAAAAGGGTATTAATTGCGTAGGACAATCAAAATCGCATAGCTATAAATATATATATATATATATATATATATATATATATAACATATGAATCCCATGTGTGAACATATCTTGCTCGTGAATTGCTCAACTCTTCAAGTTCGCAACAAAGATATATAGCTTCCAATTGGAATCGGTCGGTCTTAGTTTCTCAAAGTTTTTCTGTCCCCAAGGTTTTTAGCTAATTAAAGCTTCATTTATTCTCTCACATTTCTGCGGGATCAAGGATAAATAACTGTCCTCAAGAGTATTTCATCTGCGGCATGCCCAAGCGTCCAGTTTTAGTTTATTTTTATAGCCTGATCCAATTTAAAATGGCTTAAGAAGGGCATATTGGCTTTGTGCGAATGTGTGTAACAGCCAACAGAAGGCGTTGTCGAAGCCGTGCAATATATGAAGTCTTGATTATGATATCGTACGCAGAACGAGAATGTGATTTTAAAACTATCGATTTTTATATCGATAGCTTTCTATATATCCAAAATATTGATAAAAATCGCTTTTGAGCCCTGGTTCCGTAAGCATCGCCCGATATCTCTCCTTATTTTCGTAAATATTTATGTTTAGATCTTATTTTAAAGAGCCAACTCGATATCTCTATTATTTTACAAAATATCGATAAGTATCGATATCAGAAAGACTCAATGTCTCTATTTATATCGAAAATATCGATAAAGATCGAATTGAAAACTGTTTTGTGAAAACTATCCGATATCTCTTTCCTCTTTGCCAGCTATCGATAAATATCGATTTTAAGAAATAGTTTCTTAAGCACAACTCGAAAATTATAACGCCTATAAATATCTAACTTGGTATGTAGCTGCTCATTTAGTACACACGGATCAGATATATTCCACTCTTTGGATAACTCAACCCAGTGGAAAAGCTTCTCCCTACAAATTTCATAGAGATCGGACTTTAAATAACGAAATAATTTGGAAACGTGGAGGTATAGAAATAAGGACTGAAGAGTGCTTGTAAAGACAGTTCGGGCTCTGGGTTGAGGGTATCTCGCAGTCGGCCATTGCCGACTTCCGACTCCTGACTGGCGCACTCTTACTTGTTTCTTGTCATTATGTGTATCGCACGCTGGCAAGTTGAGTGCCAGTTAAATAAGTATACCCGTCAGACCCGGCCGGTCTAGAGGTGTGGATGGGGCGGTTAGGCGCCAGCTCTCCGCAACCCGGCGCGATTTAATCGTGACACCTGTCCAGCTGGTCAACTGGTTGGTCGCTGGGCCAGTGACACGCTACGCCGGGCGGCATAATTAAAAGTTAAGTACCTGACCGGCAGACACACACAAACACAAACACAAACACACACACGCAACACACAGAGTTATACACTGGCTAAAACGGTTCTCCCTAGACGCAGCTAAGCACAGACAGAGCCAAAGGCAGCGAGGCGCAGAGAGGGCCGCACTACATAGAGAAAGTGGACTAGGTCTCGTATGCACAGAAAACAACATGCCGTTGACTTGAACGCTGCATTTTTTAATGGGCCAACTGCAGCTGGGGTCGCGCGGGAGCTGGCAAAATGAGCGCGGCTAGGGGGTCGGGGGTCGGGGGATCGGTAGGTAGCCAACAGACGGCGACACCAAACCAGCCAAATGCTAGCCTGTTAAATTTTTCACAAAAGAACTTAACGCAAATATGCTTTAATGAGCTGTCGGTTTCCGTTCAGGCGCCAGACCAGGGTATGCTATATTTCTAACAAAGCTTGCCAAAGTCCATCGGAAAGTGTGAAAGTTCCCTGTATTAAGTGTATGTAACAGACAAAAGTAAGCATCTTTGATCACATAACTCATATATGTATATATTATTAATTAACTATTTCCACATCCCCATCCATCTGTGCACATGTGTCTATCGCGAGAATTATACAAGTGAAACACTTGAAATTTGAAATACATATTTTTCTTAACCTTACGCAGAACGAATATATCATCTTTTTCGATATGCTATTTCCACTTGCATTATATCAATAAATATCTTGGTCTTTGGTTTTTTGAGCACAGCTCGAGAAATTTTTGAAGCTATATATGCCAAACTTGGTATGTAAGCTCTTGTATATATTATAGAGTACAGAAAAGTAATATCTCATATTTTGATTGCTTGACACACAAGATTCAGCCTACAGACTTTATTGATAAGTTGAGCAAAAGGTTGCTAGCTTAAGAGTTATTAAAGTTTATTCTTCTTTTTTGTTTTGGTTCGTTGAGAAAAGCTTATGAATATCACAAAGTTCCTTAAAAAGCTATGCCTAGCGAAATACTCTCCGTAAGTGTATTCAAAATGTGCCAAACCAAGGCTAGCTTTACGAACTGGAGCGTTATTTGTAGGTAAGACGGCTTTTAAATGCCTCAATTGACCGCGCAGGTTGTCTACATACACACAGACATAGATATATCCATATATACAGGTATATAAAGGATATATATGTATATATATATATAAGGGATGTCGACTGGTTGTCAACGTAAAGTCCTTGAATGAGTTTTGTGAGGTCGTAACTTCATTAAACACTAAACTTCTTCTAAGTGCGTTTGCATTTAAGTGGAATTTCCTGCTCGCAACTTGTTGCGGTTTATTAACTAAACGCCACGCCCCATCTCCACTTAACGCCTTTACTTGTGGTGCGAATAGTCGCACTCGCTTTAATTACTGACAGATAATTCGATTGTCCTGGCGCTGAAATATACCCAAAGGCTAAATTAAGCCCCATGGAATATCCAAGGCATGGCCATGGAAAGAAATTATATCATGCCATTAAGGGTTGTATGGTATAAGCTATAAGAAAACATTTGCTAAAAAATCACTTTAAATAAAAGAACACAGGGCATCTATTGAAAGAATATAGAAGCAATAGTAAAAGCTATTCGAGCTAATGATTATTTGATAGATGGATTAATTGATAATAACTGATTTCAAAGAAAGGAGTCGAAATTTCGATGATGTGCAGGAAATAAAATATCTGCCTGGAAGAACTTACCCGTGTTAAGACTCTAGCTCTTATAGACCCTAAGGTCGGACTTAACTTAACTTGTACGACTCAGATATGGAATTTGATGTACTGCATTATCCAATATTTTTCTAAGATAAGCAGCCTTCGACTGAGTAGCCCTTGCTGAGTTGTTGTGTAACGGAGCAGACTGTGAAAGTTTGCATTCATATATTTTAGTATCGTCTCTCAACAGCTGAGGCAACAACAACAACAACTAACTAAACAAAATCGAAAACTCCGGCCACGGAACCAACTATTGACACAAAGAAAAAGGCAATTCGCGTCAGTGAAGCAATCGACGCATTTGATTCAATTTATGCACCCGACCCATTTCACTCGAAACAAACCCTTGATTGTTTGGAAGATCAGATGGCGTATGTGGCTAGCAATGATCAGCATGGCAATGAGATAATGCGCGTCATGTTGTCCACGGAGCCGGGCAAGCGGACAGTCGCCTCATGCCAGAATCTCAGAATTAATTGCAGTCCAGCCCGAACGCAGCCGGATACGCGGTAAGTTTTGTCGTATCGACGTGTTATGCCTGCAAAATATCTTCCACTCTCGGCTGTTCGAACCTGTGTGCGTTACAGACCGGGACGTTACGATCATCGCCATCGTTTCCATTATTTTGCGGATACCACACCCAGTCAGCGACAGGATGTGCGCCTCCTGCAGGAGCAGCACATAGATCACCATCAGCAGCAGAGGGAGCGTCAGCAGCAGGAGAAGTTGGGGCTAGAGAAGCAACAACCAGATAGGGTACAGAAGAAAAGGGTGCAGCAGGAGAAGACTCAGGGACAGACACAGAAAAAGGAACAGCTACAGCCAGAGATGTCACAATCTGAGAAGCAGCCTCAGCCGCAGAGGTTGCAACTGGAAAGATCGCATTCAGAGAAGAAAGCTCTGTCAGAGAAATCGCAGCCGAAGATGCAGTCGCAGCCAGAGTTGCAGTCGCAGCTGGTTAAATCCCACTTGTCAAAGTCGCAGCCTGAGAATAACTCGCGTTTGGCAAGTTCCCAACCGGAGACGCACTTGGAGAAGTCGCACTTGAAAAAGTCGCACTTGAAGGTATACTTGGAGAAGGAGTACTTGGAGAAGGAGTACTTGGAGAAGGCGTACATAGAGAATTCGTATACCGAAAAGACATACTCGGAGAAGTTGCAGCCGGAGAAATTGCAGCCGGAGAAGTTGCAGCCGGAGAAGTCGCACGCGGAGAAGTCGCACGCGGAGAAGTCGCCAGTAGAGAAAACGTACTTGGAGAAATCGCAGCCTGAAAAGTCTCACGTAGAGAAGACGTACTTGGAGAAGTTGCAGCCGAAAAAATCGCAGTTGGAAAAGTCGCAATGGGAGAGTTGCAAGCTGGAGAATTCGCTACCGGAGAAGCCGCAGTCGGCGAAATTGAAACCGGAGAAAACGCAGCCGGCCAAGAAGTCCCAGCCGGGGAAGGCGCGTTCACAAATGCTGTATTCGGAGATGAATTTGGAGCCAGATAAAAAGTCACAGGCAGTGAAGCTGAAGCCTGAAAAGTCTCAACCGGATATGCCTAAGCCAGAAAAGTCACAGCCGGTAAGGTCGCTGGCGGACAGGTCGCATCTGGATAAGTCGCTGCCGGATAAGTCGCATCTGGATAAATCACACTCGGAGAAAAAGGCACAAGCCGAGAAGTCGCACTCGCCGAAGTTGCAAGCGGAGATGTCGCAACCGGACAAAAAGTCACAACCGGAAAAGCATCCGCAAGCAGAGAAAAAGTCGCATCCAGAGATATCGCAACCAGAGATATCGCAACCAGAGATATTGCCACCGGAAGGAAAGACACAGCCAGAGTATTTACCGCCACCGAAAAGGGCACAACCTGTGACGCTACAGATACAGACGAAGGAAAGTGTGAGCGTGGAAGAGCTGGCCCTGTGGAACAGCACCGAGGTAATTGCGCATAGCACGCTGCTCTCCACAGGCGAATCGCAGGATAGGATCTACAAGAGAGGCAACAGTGCCAATGCCTCGTCGAAATCGCCAGACTCGCCCTTTTACGCTTGGCTGGCGGCCAAGAAGTAAGCTAACCCCTGCAGCCAGCTCGCACGAACTCAGCTAATCCCAAATCGAACCCTTCAACCCACAGTGAACTGCAACAGCAGCTGGCCATGGATCGCCGGCTGTACTCGGAGCTGGAGCAACAGCGTGCGGTGGAGCGTGCCCGCCTGGCGCAGCTGAAGTACGAGCGCTGGATACAGGCCAAGACAAATCAGATGCGTCGCGCCAAATCCGATCTGAGCTCCGCACAGACGACGGCCAAATCGCGACAGTCGCTGCCCGCCGACGAGGCGCAGCGACGCCTGCTCGATTGGGAGCGCGAGAAGCGTGCCGAGCTCAAGGCGCAGCGGCTGGAGCGTGAGGCGTTCCTGGCACGCCAGAATCTAATTGATTCGACGCGCCGTGAACTGAGCGCCGAGGCCTGGGAGCAGTGGGTCTATGCGACGCGCAATCGCCCCAAGCCCGTGGCCATGGGCCGTGGCCTGGACTCGTTGCGCGCATCCAATGCGCCGCACTATCGCAATCCCAACGAGTGGCAGACGCTGTTGCCGACGGCCCGAACGGGACAGCAAGGACAGCAGCAGCCAACTCAGGCGACGGCGCAGGTGCGCAGCGGCCCGGACTATGAGCGGCTGGAGCGACTGGCGCAGCCGCGACGCAAACTCTGGCGTCAGACGTTCAATGAGCCCGTTCGTCTGACGACCAAGGAATGCGGTATGCCAGCCAAGACGACGACGGCGACATTCGGCTCCGGGGGTGGAGGTGAGCACAACAGGGATACGGAGCGTTTGCGTCTGAGCGATGCCGCATCACAGACCCAGCCGGAGGATGCGGAGATGACGCTGCTCGAGAAGAGTCGGAGAGCGGATGCGACCACGGATAGCTGCCTGTTGCGGCCGCAGCGTAGTCCCATCATCTGGAGCAAGAGCAATGCGCAGCGTGTGCGTGAAATGCGCAAGGTCGTCCAGCCGTCAGAATGTGGCCAGGGGCCGCGCCAGCTGCGCGACGATCAGCTGGAGCAGCTGCGCAAGCAGCAGGACATGCAGAATAGCAAAATATTGCCGCGCAAATTCCAACAGAAGCGCGAACAATTGCGCAAAAAACTGAAGGCCTGGGTCGAGGAGGGCAAGGCGCTGCCGGAGCGCAGTCTGAGCGACAGTTGCCGCAATCTGAAAGATGAACTCAAGCAGGAGCTGCGCCAGGAGTTAAAGCAACAGCAGCGACGCGCCGTTTATGTGGACGAGGCAGCGAATACCCAGCGGCATAATGCGCGAAAAATGTCGCTCACCGAGACGCGTATTCAACGCTCCGAGGAGCAATTGCAATCGATAGCCAGGAAATCGATTGCACCATTGCAGCGTGCACGCAGCACTGAGCCGAAGCGTCTGCTCATGGGCAAGGAGGCCAAGGAGGCGCAGAAATCAAAACCCTGGCGTTAGTTTGTCTACAACGTTTAGCCAAGGTCAAATGACCGCAACCAAACCCTTCCATAAGGCTCTTCTTTAACCCGTTCCCTTAACCCTTTTCCTAACCTCCATCCATAATCACTCCTACCTAGATCACCTTTCCTTAACCCTTCCCACTCCTCTTCCTCCTCACCTTTCCCTAACTATACTCACTTAACAATGCATCTTCCTCGTTAACTCACCTGCCTTAATCTCCCAGCTTAACCCCTTCTTACCTAACCCTACCCCACATAACCCGCATCGCTTAAGCTTCCACCTTCCTACCCTCCTCCCCCATCCCTTTCCCATTCCCCTATCCCTTTCCCATTCCCCAGCCCCTACCCAATCCCAACGATACCCAACATAGTTTTTTTTTTATTTACTTTTCCGTCGTATAATTTGCATAGATCTAAATTGAGGCTAGACCTATTTATTTTTGTTTTCCTAGGAGTTTTAGGAATTCTTGAATTTAGTTGCTTTTGTGTGTAGTAAATTATAAATAATAAAAATCGCTAATATAGGAACCGAAGTAGATAATCGATAATCGCCAATTATCAGTCGCAAGGATTGGAAGCGTGCGACTATTTGGAAGTGACCGACTGGAAGATATCCTGTACCCTGTACGGGCCAGCGAGAAAAATTAATATTGAGACATGCTCAAATAAGCCCGTTCTCCATCGATATTTATCGATATTCTAGCTTTTGTTGCAGATGTAGCTAGTGGCTTCCAAATCGAAATTCATTATCTCTGGCTCTTAAAAGCTCCGGCAAAAATAGTGTATCGATATCGATTTTTATTGATTTTTTCAAATAGGTCGAGCTATCGATACTTATCGATACCTTGAAAACTGCTTGAGCTGATAGTCTATCTAGAGTTTATTGTGAATTCAATGAAGTCTAAAGAGTTTTACGACTTGCCTCTTTTCTCTAATCTATTTTTTTTGGATCTCAGATGCTTCGATCCTGCTTCGACTTAAGTCTTTCTTAACGAGTCGAAAATCGATACTTATCATTCATTTAAAATACCCTTATGCTGTTCAATATTTTCGTTGTTTAGCTGTCGGCAGTTGAGGCTGATCCAGAATATATTTATATAAATGCTTTTTGGAATCGGAGAAGCCTTCTTCCTGTGCCAAACATTATCTAATGGTATGTGGTTTGAACCAATACAATTCGAGCCCGAAATTCAATTTTATTTTTTAACTTTTAACCAAAAAATGTCTCGCCTCAGAATAACGAACATTCTGCCGGTAAACCCAAACTCCTATGCGTCTATTGTAAATGCCTGTCTTATATAGAATTTGGCATCCAAACAATGCAGTTCGATTCGTAGAAACGTAAAGTGAACTATTCATGTTTGCCTGTTTAAAGCCGGCAAACCAAATAGCTGTACGCCTTCTCCTAGAGCTACACTGTGCTACACTCGAAAAAAAGTCTCATTTTAGTAAATCGGCATAAAATGTTCTGAAATTAAGAAAACGTGAGCATCAAAATACGATTTGTTACCAAGTATTTTCTACTTTTCCGACAATTTTTTGCAACGTTTCAAAAAATCGTTTCTATTTTTCTGGAATTTTTCATAAATTCTGATAGACTTTTATTTAACCTTTAAATTTCTTAGAAAATTTATAGAAAATAAATGTTGACTCTATCAGGAAATTGTTTTACTTTATAGAAATTTTAACTCAGACCGAACTGCTAAACTGTTGGGCTGTTTTTTTTTCTCTGAGTGTACCTAATCACAGCGGGCATACAAATGGATGATGGGGAGGGGCTTGCGGCAAGTGTTTGGTAATTACAGCTGCGATGGGGCATTGCTCGAAGGATATATAGAGGGTAATGGGTGTTGGGTGGTTAGCTGGGATGGGTGTGCATCCAGCTCAGACGATTACCTCAACGTGGCCCAAAGACAAAGACATGAGCATGGAATGGTGTCAGAGAGAGAGGGAGAGCGAGGTAGAGAGTAAATCGATACGACTTAGGCCCCACTCCGTTGACCTGTTCGATCCATTCGCATTGCTGAGGCTTCCAGCTGAGGGCTCTGCACAGCTGGCGGGCCCAATTTGCCGTGCAGCTCGGCTCAGTCGACAGCATGGAACGTTGGCGCAACAAAGTGGCCGTGGTAAGCGGCGCCAGCGCTGGCATCGGTGCCGCCTGTGCCCGGGCATTGGTCGGTGCCGGTCTGTTGGTTGTGGGCCTGGCCCGACGCCAGGAACGCATCGAGCAGCTGCGCGCCCAGCTGCCGCTGCCCCAGCAACAACGCCTGCACGCTGTCCAATGCGATATAACAAACGAATCGCAAGTGCTGCAGGCATTCGACTGGACCAAGCGACAGCTGGGCGGTGTCCATGTGCTGGTCAACAATGCGGGCATCATGGCCACCACGGAGCTGAGCGGTGCCGGCAATACGCAACCGATACGCGACACCGTCGAGACAAACATAATGGGCAGTGTCTATTGCATACGCGAGGCATTTCAGGCGATGCGCTTGCAGCAGCAGCAGCCGGGTCATGTGATCATTGTTAACAGCGTGGCGGGGCAGCAGGTGCCAAATCTGGGTACACAGCTGCCCTCGCTGAACATCTATCCGGCCAGCAAGTTTGCTTTACGCGCCATGCAGGAGATCTATCGACAGGAGTTTCAGCGTCACAAGACCCAAGTCCGGGTCTCGGTAAGTGTGAACTGAGCTAGAGCTCTGCGTCGGCTAATCAATCGAAAGTAACTCAAATATTATATCGACTTAATCGACTCGATAAAACGATAAAGATAGATTGCATTTAGCTCAGACTCAAATCGATCGAATCAATTTGTTTTTGTCTGCAACTCGGAACAAGTAATATTCTTGATTCAAACGAAGTTGGAGTCATCAGCTTTGAGCTAACAACATGTTCGAGCAAAAAAATGTTTAACTCGAACACAACCGAATGAACCGCGATGTTTGAAGCCAGCTAGCGCGATCAGCTTGAGCGCGAAACAATTGACTTAATTTTATATCGTTTGCAATTACTTTGGCTTCGAGCATCTTTATGCAAACGAAGTTCGAGCATGTTCGAGTTCGATCATCTCGAGACAGCAGCATGTTTGAGTTTTCTGCATGCTCGACGTTTTTCGCTTGACTCAATGCATTTAGCCAGGCAAATACTCTGCCCTCCAGAGCTCTACACTTACCAATTTAGTTTCTCCAACACGAGACATATTGTCCTAATGGAAGTCGAATAGGCTTTTTGTGTTAGGCTCGTGTTCGCGACCATCTCTAGTCGGAGTCACGTTCCACCTGTGTGTATATATGGCACATTGTTTTATTATTTCGATTGCCATTGCAGACAATCAGTCCCGGCATTGTCGACACGGACATCTTGCCCGAGCAGCTGCAGGCCGTCATTAAGCAGCACATGCCCATGCTGCGCGCCGAGGATGTAGCCGATGCCATACTGTGGACCATTGGCACGCCAGCCAATGTGCAGGTCAGTGCCGGCTCCTTAACATAACTCGGCTCTCACTTAATTGCTCACCCAAATGCTACTTCTACTTCTGGCAGGTGCAAAACATCACCATCAAGCCGCAAGGTGAAAAGTTTTAGGCGGCGTACGCAATCAACTTCGGCATTTGCAAAGGCGGATTATACCATATATATAAATATATACACATTATATTGATGAACCAAATATATACACTGTTCACGGGATGGTCAAGGGCATATTAGTTTTGCTGCTCTCTAGCTAGAGACCAACCACTTGTAGTATTTATTTTAAAATGTTCCATGATATGGTTTAGGGCTGGAGGCGGCAGTTGGGTTCGGCTTACGGTTTGAACCAGCGGCCTGCCTTTGGGTTGGTTCGCTGCGGCTCATAATAAAATTGCAATACAAATACCTGGCTCGAACCGGTTCGGTTCAGCTCAAACTTGGCTTGCGCACTTATTGATACCTTGCTTTAAATTAAGTTTGGTTAACTTAAGAATCAACTGATTCGTTTTCAAGGCTCGATGGCTATTCGACTGCCTGCCTCGAACCGGTTCGGTTCCAGACTTACCTGCTTGTCCCCTTCCATTACCCAGTCCAATCAACCCAAATGGTTTGGCCTTCAACCTCCAGAGAACAGAATGTCGAATAATGCTACAAGGATTTTCTGGCCAAGAAAAGCTGTTCCAGCTTAACTCAAGGGACGGCCACTGAGCGAAATCAACTTGATTGAAGTACATTGTGGCCGAAAGCTCATGTAGCTGAGTGTAACTGTGTGTGTGTGTGTGTGTGTGTGTGTGTGTGTGTCCAGACTCTTATTTTTCGGGGTCTTGGCCTACATGATCAATGCGCCCAGCCACACAATTCCCGCACACACAGAAACACACACACACATACATCGATCAGGTCAGCGGAGGTGCAATTGTTGAATCAGCAGAAGAAGAAGATAAACAACAACAACAAAAAATGGAGAAGGGCAAAGAAGAAATTTGCATTTGTGTTTTGGAAATGACGCAGGTGCCTTGCCTTGGAGCTGGTTGCGTAGCTGGACAAGCAGCTCATTGGATTCGCAAACAAGCCAAAGTTGTTGCCCCAAAACTCAACATGGTGAAAAGGGAGGGAGGGGAGGGGGGAGAAGGGGGGCTGTGCTGGAGTCGGTTGCAGCCACAAAACATTGCAAGCAGCTCAATTTTTGGCTAAAATGTGGGCTGCCTTTTATCCAGCACTCAAATCAACAGCAGCAGCTGCTGCTGCTGCACTTGCTTCAGCCTCCATCTCTCTCTCTCCCTCTCTCTCTGTCTCGCTCGCTCTCTCTTGCTTATTTTTTCTCTGGGGCATCGATTCATGTGTGTGGCATGTGTGTTGGGGCATGCATTTTAGCCAAGTGCTGCGTCCTGTTGCCTGACCAACAAAAAATGTCTCTGAGCGACACAATGAAAATGGATTAAAAGGATAAGTGGGCGTCGGGCCATATGTGGGCGTGTAGGCGTATAGGCTGCGTATCGGCCTTATAAATCCAAATCCAAGCCCAACCGCATCCTCACCCTCACGCCGCAACCCTACCCACCCAGAATAAGCATTGTCTGCGCTGCGGTCTAATGACCAGACAGTTGACCTGCGCCTGGGGCTTCGGAGCCTTTACAAAGTCAACGGGTAACATGGAGCTGTAATCCCACCGAGCCGAGCATTGAAGGTGTTCCAGCTATTGTTAACCTAATTGAATTAGGCCAAGAAAAAAAATACACAGAAAACTTGACAGCCGAGCTAAGCCAAGCGATATGCCCCGGCAAGATGCTGCAGTCGAGCTTTGCAAAGCTCTTCAGTTGTGAACTGTTCAAAATTGTATTTGTAAGTAACACTCACCTCACCGCACACACGCACACACTGAAAGCAGTGCTGTGGGCTGTGTGCAACAGCATCTGAAAACCAGTGTTGCGCAATTTTGTTTGTTAAGCTTTTGAGCTGCATTTAACACGTCAGCGCACAAAGTGCTGCTGGGCATATTCCCGTAAATATTCCGAACAAATTCCTACGCAGCATCAACAGCTTTAAAAATATGTCAAGGCTTTAAACTTGGTTCAAGTGATATAAACTTTTTCTGAAAGCTCGACTCACTATATTGGATGTTTTAAAAAGCGCATTAAAGCTTTTAGCATTAAATAAAACTTGTTATAAAGAAAAAGACAGCTTAAACGGTAAGCTTTCAAGTGAAAGCTTGACGAAGAACTAGCTTTTTAAGCTCCCAACAGCTCTAGCAGCTTTTTGATTGACTTTCTTGTATAATCTTAATATAGTATGTGAAGTATTCGTGAACAGCTGTATAAACGGATGAATCAAGCGAATAAGTCCGTTCTGGATTAAGCAAAAGCTTTGACTGAAAGCTCATCTAACTGCAGGCCTTTTGTCTAGTTGCTGTCTCTCTCTAACTGCGGTGTTAGACCATTTTCATATAATTTTCCGTAAATAACTTTTTGCCTTTTCTGTGGAGCTTAAAAGCTCATTTTGTGGCGCATTTAATTTGACTGTTTGTTGCTCCTGGCATAAGCTTACCTAAGTTAATATGTTCGATTCATCTTTTGTTAATTCTGCGAAGCTTTAGGCTCATGAGCTTTAAACAGAAGCTTTGTAATGATTCTATGAATTTATGAATTTATTGTCTTTGTATAATTTGTGAAGTATTCATGGTGCTTAAAGCTGGCTGACTTAACTGTTCAACATGGTGGTCAACAGGTGGACAAACGGGAGAACGGACGTATTCTGTGGGCGGGGCAGAGCTTTTGGATTAAGTAAAAGCTTTGCAGCTAGCATCACCTGCGCCGCCGCTGCAAGTGCACCGCATCGATGGCGTCGAGACGCCGGCGCAGAGCACGCTGTGCCGCCGACAGAGGCACATGCAGATACAAGGAGGTGACCTGCTCCTGCAGCTTGCTCTGCTCCAGCTGCTGCTGCTGCCTGGCGCTCGACGGCTGCGCTCGCAGGCGTATGCGTTGTCTGGGCGTCGCGGCCGCCGTCAACTTGCTCAGCCGCGACAACGCCGACAACGGACGCTGCTGCTGCTGCAGGTGTTGTTGCTGCTGCTGCTGCTGCTGCTGCTGCTGCTGCTGCTGCTGCAGGTGTTGCTGCTGCTGCCGCCACCGGAACTCGGTCTGCAGGCCGGAATTGCTTTGGGTTTTGACCGCCAGCTGGGCGAGCCAGCGCTCCCAGGCGAGCTGCGATAGCTGGCGGCGCAGCTGTTCATGGACTCGCTGCTCCTGCTCGGCGCGCAGCTCCTCCTCGCGCCTCTGCTCCAGCTCCTGGCGCTTGCGCTGCTGCCACTGGGCCAGGCACAGCTGTGACTCTTCGCGCCGCTTGCGCTGCGCCTCGGCCGATGCGTTGGGCAGCCGGGCGCTGCACTGCACCCGCCGCTTGGCGTGCAGCCAATCCTCATAGCACTTCTCGGACATCTGTTTGCGCATCTGCTTCAGGCTGTGCAGACGATGCGCCTCGCGTCGACTCTGGCGGCGACGCAGCAACTCCTGTTTTCTGTCATTATCGCTTTTTGTTTATTTTATTTTTTTTTTTTTTTATATTTCGCTAGTGAGCTGGCAACTTACTTTTTGGTCTGCAGCCACTGGTCAAAGGTCAGGCGGCGCTCTGACGCGCCAGCGCTCTCCAGCGACTGCAACTGCAGCGGCAGCGGCAGCGCCAGCGGCAGTGACAGCGGGCGGCTCGAATGTCCGCCGGCTGTGTTAAAGTTCTGTGTTTCTAGCCAGTAGCTGCCGCTGCCGCTGCCGCTGCCGCTGCCTCCGCCGCTGCTGTAGCTATGCTCCGGCGATTGCATGGGCAGCGACAATGACGCTGACGCCGACGCTGACGGCGACGGCGACGGCGAAGGCATCGGCATCATCTCCACAGGACGCGTAGACGCTGGCGGCGTGGACACCCGTCGCGGCTGGGTGACCGCCTGACGGACCAGGCGACTCGTCGAGCTGCTCGACCGGCCGCCCGCCTGCCTTGGGCCCTGAACCAGCACCGGAACGTTGTCCGTCTCAGCCGCCTCCGGCACGCTCTGGATCGTCTCGCGCAGTCGCAGCCGCAGCGTTGGATACACCTTCGGCTGGCCGCCGGCACACGGGAAGCTGCGCTTCACAGGGCACATCAAAAACGGGGTCCGGCTGTGGCCAAATTGTGCGCTTACCCCTGAGCCAGATCGGTTCGGGCATTCGGCGATTGCTTGAGCTCCAGCCTCTGATCCCGTACCTGATCCTGCGCCGGCGGCAGCCCCGACCGGGGCGCGTCCGCGCAGTTCCTGCTGCTGTTGCTTGGGCCGTTCTCCTCAGTCTCCGCCGCAGTCATCGCTTGCACCAGCCAAAGCTTTTCAGCTGACCAATCAAATTTTTGCCTATGTCGAATTCGAGTTGGAAAAGCAAAAAACAAAAAATTTTATTTTATTATTTATTTTTATTTGGTTTTTTTTTTTTATTTTATTTTATTTGTTTTTTTTTTTTTTTTTTTTGACAAAATTTTGAATTTTTTGACAGTTGAATGAAACGAGAGAGCGAGAGAGAGAGAGAGAATGTGGGAGTGAAAGAGAGTGGGATAGAGTGAGCTGATAGTTTGCATAAAAGTTGTTTTTTTGAGCCAGTTAAGCGAGCTTTAAGCTTTTAGGAGATTGTATTCAATGGGCTTTTAAGGAGAGACAAAGAGAGTGAAAGAGAGAGATAGCAGCAGTCGAAAAGATAACAGAAAAAGAGCTTTCGCATGCCGCAACAATAGATTAATCCATAAGAAAGCATGTGTGAAATTCAAGCCTGTAATCTGAGCTTTAAGCTTTTGTGATCTCTTAATTTAAATTCTTTCAAAGTTTTGTAGGCAACAAGCTTTTAGCATTAATCTTAGTGTGTGCTTAACTCGTCAAGATTTTTATAAGCTTTAAAGTTTTTTAAAAAGCTCAGCGTACTGCTTGAATTGGTTGAGCTTTTATCGTTAACAATTTTTCTTTACACCCTCTCTATTTTCTCTACTCTTTACGTTCTCTCCACTTAATTCTCGACTCTACATTCTCACTCTAAAACATTAACCTTGTAGCAACTCTCCACCTCACTCGCATTTTTAATTTCCCTTTTCTCAACGGTTTGGCCTTTTTTTTACTCTCCAAGCTTTGGTCGTTGCGCTTCACTGTTCTCCATAAGCCTGACATCTATGTAGTTTATAGTCTCCATTCTACGCGAATCTCTACACATTATTCTCTATTCTTCACTATCTTTTCTTATCTTCACTCACATCTTATCTGTTCATTTTCTGCACTGCTTCTTCTACTCTCCACATTTTATTCTCCACTCTAAAATTTCTCGATAAGCTTTTGATTTTGTTCTATTTACATTTCTTACCTTAATTTTTACTCTCCACCTTATTTCCTTTGCTCTTCACACTTTATTTTCTACGCTACAAACATTTCAGCTAGTTTCTCCACTTCATTTTCTACTCTACAAAGATTGCAACTAGTTTCTCTACTCGAATCTTTACTCTCCACTTGCTGCTCTTAGCTACGACTTATCAAATCTCTGCTACCTACTTTTATAGCTCTCTACTCTCCTCTTCATTTCCCCCACTATTCATGCTTCATTCGCTACTCTACACTCTACTTGATAAGCTTTTTATTTAGTTCCTAGTCTTTATGCCACACAAATTTCTACTACCTACATATTTAGCTTAATCTCTACTCTCCACCTACATTTTCCTTCTCTCCACCATTTGTTCTCTTCTCTACACTCTCTTCGCCATGGGCATTTGATTGTAATGCTACTCTCCACTCTACTCGTATTTTTATGTTGTATTTTCTCCACTAGTTTTGCTTTATGCTCCTACTCTTCACACTTTATTTTCTATGCACAAACATTCTCCACTCGGATCTTTACTCTCCACTTATCAAATCCCTTCCTTTCTGCCTCTTCCTCTCGCCTTTAGCCACTGACTGTGCGTTCATATCAGGTGCTTCTTTCCCTCTAAGCTGCAATGCGTTGAAGTGGGCGGGGCTTGGGCTGGTCAGGGGTCGCAGCAACTGGGCAGCCAGGTGAAGGTCGCCTACATCCATCAAGTATTTGTCGTTGTCGCAGTCGTTGTCGTTGTCAAATAGCAACAATAACAACAACAGCAACAACAACGACAACAAAAGTTGCCTTTGCCTTTATTTTTGTCTTCGCCGCGTTCTCGTTGACTGAGCTGCTAACAAATTGTTGTGGGTGGCCCGTAAGGGTAGGGCCACAGGAAGAGGGGCGGGGCAGCACAGGTGCAACTGCAGCAGCGAGTCGCTTATAAAAGCGGCAAAATATTTCATTGCAGTCAGTCAGAACGTCAAAGCCACGCCCCTAAAGCAGGCGACATTTATTTGTTTTATTTTAATTGCAGCTACGCAGCGACAGCAACGTCAGCAGCGACGTCAGCAGCGACGTCAGCAGCGGCGTCAGCAGCTGCCAAGGCAACTATTGTGAATGGCTGCAGCTGTGTGCAAGGGAGCGCGTGAGTGCGAGCGAGATCACAAGAGCATAACAGAGCGAATGCAAGGGGCGTGGGTGGGTGGAGGGGGTGAGTTGCTTTTCGGGCCTCACTTGACATTTAACTGTTAACTTGTGAACTGACAAACTGTCAACTGCGAGCTGTCAAACTGAGCGCAGCGACGACGTCGCTGCCGACGCTGACGTCGAATAATAATAACATTTTAATTAAATAAAAGCTGAGAGCTGTTTAGGGTTGTCAACGTCGGCTTTTAACGCAATTATGCAAAATAATATCGAAAAAAAAAAAAATTGAGAAGCATATTTTGAAAAATGAAATAAGCCAAGCAACTACAGTAGACGCTCGCTAACTGAAATAAAAATATATATTTAAGAAAATTTAAGAAATTAATTAGTTCTCTATGTTTACCCTAATCGATCAATTATCGATAATAACAATTATATATATATATATTTATTTATTTATATCTTTTGATTCCAGAAAGATCACAAATGATTCTTGGGCTCAACGAGGATTGACTTGATTTAAGCTTAGGTAAGTGCCAAAAAGTTGTATGCACATCTCGTTTAGCCTATATTTACGCAAAATCGATAAATTATCGATAATCATAAAGCAATCATTAGCAACAATGGATTGAAGAGTAGATCCCGGTAAGAGAAGAACATATTCGTCTTGCAAGATATCTGCAAAATCTTATCAAGATCAAACAACTATATCACATTTCAGATCATCCCAAAAGTAAGTTCTTCCAGGGAAATCTTTTCCCAAACTCGACTTGACTATGCTACTTATATGTGAGCCAAATCTTATCGGACAAATCGGTTCAAAATAAGCCAAAATACTCTCAGCTATCTGCAAAAGTAGATATTAAATCGAAAATATCTTGTTTCTTGTTTCCATGTTCATTTCATTATACCCTGAGCCCATTAAAAACCCCAAATGTATGTAACAGGCAGAAGGAAGTATCTCCGACCCCATAAAGTATATATATTCTTGATCAGCATCAATAGCCGAGTCGATCTAGCCATGTCCGTCTGTCCGTCCATCCGTCTGTCCGTATGTATGAACGCAAGGATCTCAGAACCTATAAGAGCTAGGTTACTTGAAATTTTGGATGTAGATGCTCCTAGTGCCTGCGCAGATCGAGTTTGTTTCCGATAATCGATAACTTACTCCATTTCCAAGCAATCGATAAATATCGATATCCTGTTTTTTGGGCAATTTTTGTAAATAATAAGAGCTAGAGTCACCAATACTAACTAAATTAGAATATATATACGCATTTAATGTTGGAAGAAGAGGGTTCAGGGTATTCCCTAGTTTGACTTGTTTTCTATTAAATTGATAAATTCTTCCACTCCATGCGAAATGCGAGTCTTCCAATTGTTGATGAAAACAACCTCATTTCAAGTATTAACCGTTTCTTTGTTTACCTGCCAGTTGCAACTATTGTGCTGTGCAGGTGTCTATTGTGTTTTGCAAGCGCTTTTCAAGCGCAAGTTCATTTTGGTTGCGATGGCATTGGTTGTCATTCGAATGAGTCGCAACTTCAGCATCGATTGGCTTGTAAAAATTGAAGCAAATGCGTTTGCAGAAAAACCGCGACGAAAGAGACGAAAATACCGCACATAAATTGTCAATTGCAATTGCAGCAAAGCGACACAGCGTGAGATTTCGCCGAGCTGGCAGCCCAAATGTGTCACAACTATTGCACCCTGTGCCATGCAACACCCTGTGCCAGTGTTGCCAAGTTGCAGCATGCAGCCAATGTTGAGAAGCGCCAAGAAATTAAGAAATAAGAAATAGCTAAAATTGGCTTTCTCTCTGTTTCCTGGAGAGAAGCTGGTTTAGCCAAAATAAGCTCGAAAATAATTAGCCACACTTACATCGGGAAAATAGCTAGATTGTCAAATGATATATCTAGCGAGAAAATAGCTGGATTATTCTATTATTATATATTAGTATGAATATGCCGCATTTAGCTGCAAAATAGCTAGATGTGTTGGGTCTTAGGCACATTCAGATATAATATAGCTAGATTCGCCAATCAAGCTGTTAACCACTTTAGCTGATAAATATCTAAGTCAGCAATTAAGTTAACTAGCTGGAAAATAGCTGACAAAGTTTGAAAATATTTAAATTAGTTAAAACATGTTCTTAGCCTTATTTAGCGGAAATTTAGCTACTTTTACAATACACATCCACATGAAGCTAGTAAATAGCTAGATTGACCAAACATGCGCTCATCCTCATTTAGCTAGAATATGGCCAAATTTGCAGTACAAGCAACATTAAGCTAGATTTACACAGAGAGTGCATTTCCTCATTTAGCTGAAATATAGCTAGATCGTAAGACAAGCACTGGCTAGAATATATCGCAAAATGGGCAGCACTGGCCCTACTGCGGCCCACTCGCAAAGTAAATTGCCAGCGAGTTGTAATTGAAAAAATTGCGTTGCATACTTGTAGGCATGATTTATAAAAGCAACAGCAGCAACAGCAACAACAACAGCAACAACAGCAACAACAGCAACAACAACAGCAACAGCAACAGCAACAGCAACAACAACAACTGAAACAACTAAAAAGAGCAAAAAATAAAAAGGGAGCAACAAAAAAAAAGAATGTCACGCCAATTGCTGAGGCAAACAATTTGCGTGTTGCTGTTGCTGTTGCTGTTGTTGCTGCTGTTGTTGTTGCTGCTGTGTCAGCAATTTTTGGTGTTGCGGCTGCTGCTGCCGCTGCGGGTATTGGCAAATGCGTCGAAAGACAATAAACGTGGCCACATGCATAAAATACAACAACAAAAATATATATGTATAAAAAAGCGGAGAGCACAAAATGGGAAGCTGGCAACAAGAAACAGAGAAATTGTCGTTAAGCGAGCCGTGTGTGTTCCAGCAACAACAATGAGAACAACAACAACAACAACAACAATAATGAGTGCAACAACAGCAAC